CATCGTTATTAGAGAAGCTGAGACTTCCGCTCTTCCTGAGCTCTGAGCCATTATATCTTCACTGACTTTGAGATGAAAGCCGAATTCATGGGGAGCCTTTAAAAAGTTGTGAAGAGATCAATTTTTTTCATCGTATCACTGTTTCCACTTTGTATTAAACAGCTAACTTACGAAGTTTTTTTTTTGTTTCGTGCAATCTGACTATATATAGGCGATCCCCATTGATGCTTCCGGGATGTGGCGCAGTAGGACGAAATTGTCGTCTCGCGGCGAGAGAGTAGTCGCGCGCGAAGGGATGTAGCAGGATGCAGCAGCAAGTAAGAAATACAGGAACAAAAGAACTAACAGTAGGATCATGCCAAAAATAATAATCGCATAGCGAATGAGCTGGTATAATGAGGCAAATGGTCCGCGACAGCCGCGTGCGGCACATCGATTACACGAAACCGTTCCTACTGCCCGTCTCCCATGCTTCCTGTCCCTACTTAATAGAAGGAAGCCAAAAAAGATTTCATGAAAGTGAACTGGTAAAAAAATCCTTTCAATTTATCAATCCAAACTCTGGAATGCCCCCTCCCCGGGTGTGGTGCGATTCACGCGTCAATATAATGAGGTCATCGGACAAAAAGCGCCGAAACAATATGCCTACCATCATAATGGGAGAAATAAGAACTTATAAGTAAAATAAGTAAAAAAAAAAGACAAACTATGCACGTTTACAGAAGGATTGCGTTCTCTAGAACCAAAAAATTCAAAGTTACTTGTTGTTTTGAACGTTGACGAGAAAATTGGTGACATATGAAGTGAATTCTTAATCTCGAAGGGGCCTTTTCTGCCATGGTAACGAGATTTGCTCTAATTCATGGTGAAGCCGTGGACTACGGCAAGTTTATTCGGTCCATCTCAACAGAAAGGTACTGAAACGATGCTGCGTGCGCGAAGAGCTCTAATGACGTCACGCGTGAATCGCGCGCCCCCCTCCCCCTCTCCCCCTTTCATTCGATTTGAATTCAGAGTCAGAGTGAGTGAATCGAATGCATATGATGAATTCACAGTGACTTGCCCATGTACAGGTCAGTGCTTTCATGCTCCCAGACGAATCTGGTGCCAATTAAGCAACTCCACAGGAACTACACATCTGCCTTGTATGAACACTTACTATATGTGCACAGAAATTCATAAAAACGAGCTCGTACACATATACATATCTCGAGGACCAGGGAAGTAGCGGAGGGCTCCCTTTCAAAAGCTGGAGATCCCGCAAATTTAGGAGACTAATGGCCACTTATCATCATCTCTTTTTTCGGGGATAATATTTAGAAGATTAACTTGTCCATTATTCATTATTCCATTTCAAAAGACTTGAGAAATTGAAGTGATCAATTACGTGAAGAAGACCGGATTGTCCTCTCCAGAATATATTTTCCATAAACGAACGGTTAGAGAGAGTATATTTTGAAGAGGACAATCCGTCTTCTCCTTACAATTGTCATAGGTTTATGTATAATTCATTTATTTATTTACTTATCTATTGTCACAGTTGACAAAAAGGTGAGAAGCAAGTGTAGCGTCAAATTAACAATAGTATAGCATATATGGTACACTTTTAATATAAATAAAATGGATAGATAAAATGGATAACACTCCTTCTCCTTTTCTCTCGATACAATTTGAATAGTGAACTTTGAGTTTAGTAGAGATAATCTTCTTACTTTCCCTAATAGAAATATGTCTAGAAAGTCATCTTCATAAACGCCACATGCCCTATTACTTCGAGAAAGGTTGGAAGTCATAGTCATAAACCGATCGCAACGAACTTCTCGGCGGTTGAGCAGTCGGCCAAAGCCGAAGCTAAAAAATGGAATCTGCTTCTACGACTACCCTGTTCACCAACAGAAATTCTTAGGGGTTATCAGGTCAACGGTTCGTTGAAAAATCTGCTAACGAACAGAACTTTCGACAAAGTGGATCGTTTGATGGCCGATGTCAAGGCGTGGATCGCCTCCAAGAATCGAAACCTCATCGCCTGTGGAATCTGACTGCCTAGCAAATGGGAAGCAGTGCTTGACGTAGATGGTGGATATGTTCCAGAGTAATTATTTGAACATGTGTTTGCTAAATAATTGTAGCGTTTCTAAGCAAAATTTGCTGCAAAAAAATCCACAATAATTATGGATCAACCTAATAATTTGGCGCACGAACAATTTCAGGGGCTTGTAGCATTGTAAAAATGATGGAAAAGCGTTGGTTGACTTTTTTTAGTTGTGCTATCCATTCTGTTTACCGTTTTTGCAATCCTTTGCCCAAATGCAGAGGCGAGTCAAAGAGGATCCCATCGTGAGCTTTGGCAGTGGACTGATCTATGAGGGAAGGGAAAACTGAGTTGCTTGTCAAAATGTGAAGCGCCAAGATGTCGAAAAACGAGGTCCATGGTAAGACGTCCAGGAGTTGATGCTCAGGTTTCAATTTGATCAACCTTTCAGCCAATACTATAACCCGTCCAGGAAGTTTAGGAGAGGATATTTTGATACCGTCAATTACATGGAAAGCAAAAGTCAAGTCTAATGCAATATGAATTCGCGTGTAATCTAGTAAGTAAGCAAAAGTCAGGAGCAAAGAACTGAAGGAAAATGGTCAGAAGCTAACACGATTTCCTAAATTTCGTCCAACGTTGCTACACCTTACGCCTTCCCAACACTGAGCAGCCCAATCATCCCAGGCTGATGCACGCCTGTGGAGGCGTAGCAGTCAGCTTAGGCGTGGTAAACAGCGCTTTAGGGTCTAATTGCGTCACTGATTTGACCGAAAAAAACTTCGCATATTTTCCAATCAGCGGTTTTGCATTTGCAAGGGGATAATTCCGTAGCGCATCTCGGATTCGATCGCATGATCCATGCAGGTGCAGATCTCATCTTATTGACTCCCAAAAAAATCTTAACCTTTTTATTTATTTTCTTCTTATCCTCGGTCACCGGATTTTTCTGAATTCAATGGGCGAAACCTTATACCTTGAGCTAGGCAAATAGATTCCCAGATAATCGTATCCGATCCCACCCACAAAAAAGCAGACGTGCGCAATAGGGACTGTTGTAGTGTTTGCTCTTACTTTGTACAAATAGCTATCACGTAAGAGGGACTGGACTCTTCGGTTTTGACAAGTATATGTGAATACATGAGGTCTGAAATCGAATACATCGTCAATTGATGTCGGGATCATCATATTTCACCACTTTCGTTGATTACCTAATGTTAGCGGGGATACTATAACCTTCATGAAATTGCACGCCCAAATGAACGTGGGAGGGGGGGGGGGGGGGGGGGGGGGGGGGGGGAAGGAACTCATTTGATTTATTTTCGAAGTTTTTTTCTGATTTAACCTCATAAAACATTAGTGACAGATGCACTTGCAGGACGGATGTGGTTTAGTGGCAAGGGGCGCTGTGTCACCCACGCGTGGTCACGGGTTCGAATCCCGGCTCGATATCCTACTGGGCCAACCAAGCCTTCCATCACTCCTGGGTCGGTTGATTAGAATCAGACTTGTCTGAGAGGATAAAAGCACTGACTTGTACGTCGGATGGCAACCGCATGTCGTTGTATGGGCTACATACGCATTCAATACGCCACTACAATTCCGTAGGGAAGTTGAATGCGGGGCGCATCCCTCACTAGGTACGATTTCCTTCTTACAGTAAAGCAAAAATGTACTAAAAAAATGAAAGTGTTTGCACAGGGGTAGACGTCATTCGAGCGTTTATTCGTTAGCAAAAAAGTTTCAAATATGACGTAATCCGAAGCAAGTGAAGAGTATTATTGACAAAAATCCTACTCAGCACCGTTGAGTGAGAAGGCTCAGAGAAGGAATCAAACGATTTGTTCCAACAACAGTTAATTACTTTCCTGCCATGAAACCTGTGATTGTCAGCAAGTTTTTGAATTTTTTGAGAACAATCGTTGTTTCTCTAGAGGCTCCCTGCTTTTCACATAGGTGTGTTTTAAAAAAATAGGATTTCTATGTGAAATCCGCCTCAGGCATAAACCCAAAACTACGGTACTACAGACGGCCCTGACCTCAAGTATTCTTGAAACTTCCCAAGAATAGATTGTGAGACCATAAGTGACCATTTTACCCAGAATCCTAAAAATATGTTCTCGTTAGTTTGCCAGCTCAATCCCACCAACGCTCACATCTTACCAGTTGTTTCTGTTTTTGAAAGTAAAGGGGCAACAATTACCTACTAAAACTTACAAACCTGTACGTACATAATTGTCAGGATATTCAAACCTGGAGATCATAGATGTCTTCCAGTCAACCGTGATCTACATACAGCACTCAAGAAGTACAGTAAAACTTTATATAAGAGAACATCTATAGAACATTGCTCCGAGTCGAGTTAACGGGCAACAAAAAGGGTGTTGTTGTGTGGGTGTGGCCGTCGAAATGAAGGCGACATCCACAGCACTATATTACTAAGCAAACGAAAAATGATGGCAAAACTAAAACAGAAAACTCTCACTCGTACGTGAAAAAACATAAAAATTGTGAAGAAAAAGAAAAGAAAATGATGAAAAACGAAGCGTTCACTCACAGGAAATATACAAAAGCAAAAAAAGGCGCATTCGGCGAGGGGAACGGAAAAGGAGAAATAGAAGAGACTACGGGCTGAGGAAGAAAACGGGAGAGAGTCTCGGGGCAACACAAAGGCCTATCTGACGAGAAAATTGGATCTAAATAGGAGTGAAAGGAGGCACCAATCCCTCTGCTCTGGCCTCACCGAAAACGACACCCTTGTACACACAGAAAAACCTAACACTGAGCTGCACTGAAAAACACCGTTGTCTACCGTCGAACCTCTGCGATTTGGAAGGAACATCGAGGATGTGGACGTCTAATTGGAACAGTTCGTGACAAAGTGAAGAGAAACAAAAAATCTGATGACCTTAACACTACACTACAGTAGCTCTTTGTTGAACAGTTGGCCAGTCATACTCTCGTTACTTTAAAGCTCTTTCTTGTTCTTTTTCCCCTTGGCTGGTGGTGGTGGTGGACTCGGCTCAGGCTCATCATCGTCATCATCTGGAATTGATACTTACAATGTTTTAAAACATAACATGAACTTTGGTGAAGAAATACAGCATCACAAAAGTCAGCTGAGCATTTCCTAAGATAATTTATTGGAAATCTCTGTCTTTAATTGGCTCTGGCTGAAGAATCGCAGAATTCGGCCCATGAAGCCTCTCCCCATATGACAGTTTCAATTCGCTGATAATAGTAAATTCAAAAAAAGGTATGACTCTGAAACTTACCATCCAATGTGATCGATCCACTCATGATCTGATCAATCCATGTCTGTAGTACTTCGAAGTTACTGTCACTATGCTTCTTCGGGTCATCAAGATTCACTTGGGAAATGTCGAACCAGATTCCTTCTCTCTACAAAAACTATGATTCAAAAGCGCGGAACCTATGAGATCATCTCTATAATAGACTAATTTAATATTAATATAAATAAATAATATAAATAATTATAGTGATATATAGGCAGATATAAATAATAAATATTTATATAATATGAAAAATTAATATTTAATATAAATATAGTAGTATATAGACAGGTAAGTCAAAATAACGAGCTTGAGCTGAACTGATTGGTGCTGCTGCAAAAAAATATTTCTTGATCTCATTTTCTTCGTGATAAGTTCATTACTTATGAATACTGTAATGCTCCAGTTGTAATAGTAATAGTAGAATAGTAAATTACAAGATATAATAGCAAATGAGCATTAAAATTGCAGTTTTTTCAAAATAGATAGGTCCTTATTTGGGAACAAAGTAATACCTTCTTGATCTCCTTGCTCAATGATCCTCGAAACAACAAATGAAGCCTGTCTGCTACTGGTGTTATACTTACAAGTTAAATACCATTTCTAAGGGCACCGCCCACAAAACCTACAGTATACTGCTACTGACGAGAAGTACTGCTATTCCAGCTGTAACTAACACGTTCTCTACGTTTCTGGTTGAAACTGCTATGAAAAGGCTCTATTTCCCAACGAATCGATTCTAAAAAAAAGTTAACAACAAAGTATCGTTGTTGCAAAATTGCGTCCAAAATCCATGGGTTTGAAAAACATTACTTCAAAACATTTTTGAGTAATAAGTTAGTTCTGTGCAGTTTTGAAAGGCTTAACCTTTCCTACGTTTATGATACCAGTGATCAAAAACTCCTAATCCGCTTTATGAAGTGAACATAAAGGCAGAAATTGATTGAGTCTAACAGGTGCCACCTGTTGAGCTCCATCTCATGATTACACAGAGAACGTAGAAGTTATTTTTTTTGGAACTCCGCATGATATTATTCTCAGTGTAATTTCCTAACTTAGTCGAATATTCACTGTTTTTCTGGAGCCCATGAAAGTCACATTTACAAGATGTGATGTATATAGCGCAGATCGTTTAATTTTTTTGCTCTGGTGTAATACAGCGATAAGTCTCTCATTGAAACCTTCATCATTCAAAGGTGTAGCATGCAATTTTCTGTGAAAGACGTTCATATATGAGAAATTTGAACGACTGTCCCGAGCCAATCATCTTCACATCCTCGTTGGACGGTCCACGTGGCACTACTGGTTTGAGGGAAGTAGACGATTAGACTATTTTTGATTTTTGATGTGTCAAAGCAATTTGATGCAAGCCATTCCCTTAAACTAGTGTATTCAACAAGATAATAATATTTTAAACGGAATTACTTAACCGACCAGAAACCTGAGTTGGAGACAGTGAACTTGTGAAATATGCTAAGGAGGAATATGAGCTCGAACTGCCACATGAGCTCGAAGTGAGTAATCTAGTCCAACTACAGGGTTAAGCAGCCATCATCGTGATATATTATTACTCATAATACTATTACTGTTGTCATTTTTGTTGTTGTTACTAGTAGTGTTATTAAAAAAAATGAAGTTTTTGGCGTTAATCAATCCCGTCTGAGGAATGCGCCCCCGCACTCGACTTCAATTCAGAATCGTAGTGGCGTTAATGAGTGCGTACGTGGCCTATGCAATGACTTGCGGTGGCTAGCCGATGTACAGGTCAGTGCTTTTATCCTCCCAGACGAGTCTCGTACCAATTGACCGACCCCGCAGGGATGGAAGGCTTGGTTGGCCTAGGCGGGCATAGATCCGGGATTCGAACCTCTGACCGTGCGTGTGATATAGTGCACCACTTGCCACTACACCATCTCCGCCATAGTAATACATTCAAAAAATGTAAAAAATATAAATGTAAATACGAATCAGAAATCAAGAAATATTGTTAACAGAAAACTCGCGTAAGCCCTCAGTTTCAATTTCGTCTACAGATATAGATATGTTTTGATAGGATGAGGTTGTAATAAACAAATTGGAAAAATTCCGACACATTTTTCAGGAAAATATTTTTCAGGAAAAAAGTTCCAAATAGGTGAAACTTTTGAAGCAAACCTCAGAAATATCGACGAGACCAATCTGGGGTCCTTCTTCGATGTCAATACCGAACATATCTTCCCAGACATCAACCATCAACGGGAACTCGTCTGAAATTGCGTTTACGGTATCCCATGGTTGGGTTATAAAGTTTAGGTACAGGACAAGTGATAACTCCGTAATTACATTGGAAAACTATTAGGTTGTTCGGAAAGGAATGCGCGCTGACTTTGTCCACTCATTTCTCCCCTACTATAGAAGATGTTTCAGAACAGTTTTGTCTATTCGGAAGGATTTTCATTGCGCATCTTTTGATATACTTTTTTCTACATCTACTTTGTTTTTTCTAAGAAAAAAAAAGTTTAAAAGATGCTCGACCAAAAAGGCCTTTTGCGGGCTTGCATGTGGTACAACTTCAAGAAAGGAAATTCGGCTGCTGAATCCCATCGTGCCACATCTGAAGTATACGGCGGAAAAGCACTGTCAGAAAGCCAATGTCGACGATGGTATCGGCGTTTCAAAAACGGTAATGAAAGCTTGGAGGACGAGGAACATGGAAGCCGGCCCTAATTCGTCGATATCCAAGTGTTGAAGACCGTCATTAAATTGGATCCACACCAAACCACCCGAGAACTGGCAACATATGTTGGCTGCTCAAACTCTACCATCCATGAGCATTTGCTGGCAATTGGCAAGAAGAACAGGTGCGGAAAATGGGTATGGCACCAGCTGAGCAACTCAAACCAGGCAACACAAGTGGCGATTGCCGAAATTCTTCTCCATCGCTCCATGAACAGCGGTTTTTTCAACTCTATTATTACAACAGACGGAAAATGGATCTGCTTCGACAACATAACACAAAAAGGACAGTGGTTAGACGCTGGTGACACTCCAAAATCCACTACAAAACCGGGCACACACGGCAGAAAGGTGATGCTCTGTGTTTGGTGGAACAGCAAAGATTGAATGCAGTTTGAAGTTTTGAATTCGGGTCAAACGGTTACGGCAGACATTTACGAAGACCAATTGAACCGCGCAGATCAAGCACTGCGTCGTCAAGGTGTCGAAACGGCGTCGACAAAACTCCTCCTCGACAACGCTCGTCAACATGATGCGAAAACTACCTTGGAAAAAATTGAGGAATAGGGGTCGGGAATTCCTGCCTCATCCGCCTCACAGCCCAGACCTGACTCCATCCGTCTCCATCTGTTCCGGTCAATGCAGCGCTCCTTGGCCGAGAGAAAATTCAAAAACCGCGAAAAAGTCCAACTCAGGGTGTCTAACTACTTTGAGTTGTAGCCGGCCGAGTTCTTCATGAGAAGGATCCATTCTTTGCGTAAACGTAGACAACAAGTCATCGATAGTAATGGAAAATATTTTTTTAATTGATCTTGTTTAGTTTCGTTTTTATAATAAAAAATTTTTTGAACTTAAACGCGCATTCCTTTCCGAACAACCTAATAGTTCGCAAAATGAATTTCCCAAGAAGAATTCGCTAGGTACGAAATCGAGCATTTACTCCTTATTGCTAACTAGCAAGAAAGATGTAGGAAGGCCCTGTAAAGCTTAGGTAACGGGTAATTCGAGTGAAGTTAATGAGGTCTGCTAAAAAGGAATTATTAGCACATGATCTATTATTATGGAACTGTGAAGTAAGTTCACATAGAAAGCGAACTAGATGACGAAAAAATACACAACTCAACTACAAGTAAAGCCTTTTCGCATATATCAATCCCATCTGAGGGATTCGACTACCATTCTGGATCGCAGAGGCGTTTTGAATGCGTATGTGGCCTATACAATGACATGCAGTGGCCAGCGGATGTACAGGTTAGAGTTCTTTTATCCTCCCAGACGAGTCTGGTACGAACTGACTGACCCCCGAGCTGTGAAGGGCTCTGTTGGCCAGGGCGAATATCGATGTCGGATTCGAATCCGTGACCACGCTTGGAAAAGTGTGTGCCACTTATCACTACACCACCTTCTTCCCCCACAAAACTGAAACATTGAAGGTGAAATGAAGAGAACTTCAATATTACTTCCATGACTTTTTCATGCTATGAAACGAGTGGTTTTTGAATGAGATCTATAAGTGATTTCATAAAGAATACTGAATGACCATCTGTGGTTCATTCGAAATATTTCTAAAAGTATCATTTAGTTCATGGGGCTTTGAAATGAAACTGTCGGGGTCCAATTCTTCGACGCCCAATTAGGGAAGTAAAATCATGTCAGACTTATGACTAGAATTTAAGGGTAACTAGAGGTTCTGCTGAAGCTTACCGGGATCGATCAAGACAATTTCCAAGGTGCCGGCGTGCTCGGAGTTTTCATCGGCAATTTTGTCAAGCAGTTTCTTCATGGCACGTCCCTCTCGAGTTTCCTCATCAACGAATGCAAGGATCATGCGCTCGTCGTCTTCAGGATCTTTCTGGAATAATTGGTAATTCATAGATGTATGTAGTAATGGTTATAAATGATTTTGTGGTCCAAATCCCACCCAAACATTGAAATAGTTCTCGAGAGTTAGCTTTTGCATAACAGGCTCTTTGTGCTTCTCAACCCAATCCTCGAATTCTTCTTCTGAAACAGAAATGTTCTGGAAATCATGAGCACTTATTTTAACACGTTCACGACCACTTTCACATCACGACAGCACTTACAAATATCAACATGATCCGACGGCGATCAATGAACGATGAAACACAAATTATATTTTCATAATACCCAGTTTATAAAATTCTGAAAACCGCAGAATACGTGGGTACCTGTATCAGCCGATGATGGAGCGAATAGTGGATCCTCCTCAAATGGTCGAAGCATCTGCACTTCACCAACCCGTTTTAGCCCGACTTTACGAGCCCACTGAAACAAGTATGATCACCAGTCAGGCACAAATAGGCTTATTCAGATCTAATATTGCTGTTAGGGCTACGTAACTGCTTAACTGCTTACCTTAGAGGTGACTACAGCGAAGAACTCGATCTCACCCATAAAGTCCTCGGCAGCCTCCTCGAACTCTTTCAGAGCTAAACTTCTGCTATCAAATCTATTAAGGACAAGGCGGAAAAGCTAAGTTTGATGAAGCTTATCTGACCACATTTTGAGTAAAAAATTCTTATACCTGCTGATCCTGGCTCGAAGTACCCAATAATTCTTACAACTTCATCGTCAAGATCTTCAAATTCCTCCAAATCATGTTCGTCATTGATAATGGTGACAGGATCATCAGGAATCTAATATGAGCATACAGTAATCATCAGAGTATCGCTGGTATTGAGGTAGATAGTTACTTGATCTCTGTTAATCGATTAAGTGTTTTGAATGTCAATAACAGTACTTCTTATTCCCTTTTTTACAGTGTCTAATGAGATAAAATTTTTTGACGAAGTACTGCAAAAATTGTTCATGCTTCTAAGGTTCCAAATGAACATAAAAATTATTTGATATACCCAACTTCGGGTGTGGTGCAGTAGGGACGAAATTGTCGCAATGCGGCGAGACAGACGTCGCGCGCGAAGGAATGTAGCAGAGTGCAGCAGCAAGTAAGAAATACAGGAACAAAAGAACTAATAGTGGAATCTGCCACAAACAAAAGTCGCATAGCGATTGAGCCGTATGAAGAGTGCTAGAACTGTTATAATGAGGCAAATGGTCCGCGGCAGCCGCTTGCGGGGGATCGATTACACAAAACCGTTCCTACTGCCCGTCTCCCCCCAACTTCTGATGGTGGGCTGCTCGTGAAAAACGAAAGGAATGATCGGAACATGACAGAACTTATATTGCTTCAAAAAACTGTGGAAAACATCAGTGGCATGAAATACATCTGCTTTTTTCTATCATTGAGTTGTATTATTCCTTAGCCTTAAAAATTTCAAATCGATGTTAGGGTAGGATTCAATCATTGCTTTGGTGGATCGGGAACTTTAACTGCTTTTGACTGCCACTACTCCATTGTTAGTCTGATCTTTTGGCAGCTGTTCCTTTTCAAAAACACTGCAGATTCGAAAATAACTTTGATGGACCATATAAATTGGCACGTACAATGGCATCATGTGAAAGATAGGATGACAGGAATAACAAGAAAAAACTCACATCCATCATCCATCCAACGAACGTTTCTGGATCGCGAACACCATGGTACTCAATCTTGAAGCCATCTTTGTATACATGAATGGTATCCTCACCCTTGTCCACCTCTGAAAGATTGGCATATACAGAATAATTCGACACTTTCTATGGAACTGAAACTCATTTCGATACTTCATATTACATTGTACACTGAATTTATTTTGGTTAAGTAAATACAGTACAGTATAATTACAATATCAACATCGAATTTAATCAAATTAGTGGTCTGCGAGTAGAACTGCAGAAACCATGATAGGAAGTTTGCCGTACTTGTTGCGGATTCATGACCCACTTTAATATTTTGGCTTCGAAGATTTTGAAGATGGAAATTTCGTAATATCTGGAATCCCTAACAGAAGGGCAAAGTTTACGATGTTTCCATGCCCATCATTCCGGTAATAGGAACAAGTATACTGCACATCGATAAGATTATTTAGATTTGATGTTTTGTTAACTGCTGTTAATTCGCCGCAGTACGCGATTATTATTATTTAGTATTAAAAATTATTTAGATTATTTTCATAGAGGTTGGGACAATCCAGCCGAAATACCAAACAAAAACCTGGCAATACACTGTTGAACAAAGGTTAGAGGCTGTATTACACGGTAGAAATAAAGGACTTTTACTGATATTGAACCTTATTTTGCAGACACTGGGTATGGTGCAGTAGGAACGAAATTGTCGCGCCGCGGCTAGGCAGACGCCGCGTGCGAAGGAATGTAAGAATGCAGCAGCAATTAAGAAATACAGCAGAGTAGAACTATTAGTAGAATTACGCTAGAACTGTAATAACGAGGCAGATGGTCCGCGACAGCCACGTGCGGCACATCGATTTCACCGTTCCTACTGCCCGTCTCCCGTCACATGGGTATAATACAGTCTAAATGGCACCTAAGAGAGTAATCAACCGAATATCAAAAATCAAAATAGTCGATAAACGGACATTAATGCATATTTTTTTAACATCAATCTATAGATAGTGAGTGATACGCAGCCATAATTCATGGTCCATCTAACAGCTAGATCAACACCTTATACGAATCTTCCCAATCCTTAGCTATTTTCGTTCTTCGCTCAAAGCAGTCCAGTGAAACAGCCAAGAATTTGGTAGAAAAAAAGCCACTTCCATTCAAAATCGGTATCAACCGGGATCGCAGAAGCGCCAAATTTACGGAACGGATCCATACCACTTATAAAATGCTACTCACAATTATTGATCGATATTGATCGAGCCATTGATTTTTGTGGTTTACTCGCCAATTTTCCAATTAATGCGTTAATTTTCGTGCACCCGTGATTGTGTTTTCGATCAAATACTCTGTGTAATAACAAAGAGTGTTTGCTTTCAAGTACATCTCAGCACCTTTTAGTGTGAAAGATTACTTATACATACAAAAATGTTTCGCGGATAGCTTTTCTCGAGCTTGACTGCTATACACTGTGTGATTGCGTCTTTGTGAGTTTTTATATGGGACTTATTACACTATGGAACAGCCGTTCATAGCAAACTGTTCATAGGATGGGCGAAGGATTATGCGTGGGATTTGTAATTTTCATGTTAAAATTCAAAGAGGTTCGGAAACCCATCAAAACATGATGGACGGCTTATGTCAGCAAGCAGCCGCTTCACCCTCACGTCGGCATCAAGACATCGGGCTAGCCACATTGTAATTTGATCCATGAAACAGTAACTTCATAATAATAACAAGGTTTACCTTCTTGTTTCCTAAGTTTTGTTTCTTTTGTGGTGTTCACAGTGAAAAAGTTATACCCGCGTTTTGTCATGATCTGGGCGGAAAGCTGAAACAGGAGGTTATTCTATTACTCCGTGAATGCGGACTTAACCATGATAGGTTGACCTGCATGAAACACTCGTACTGATCCAGCTCTGGATCGTCTTCTTCGACATCATTGAAGAACACCACGGACTTGGCATCTTCAGCAAAGATGGTCTTATTGAAATTCTTCTCCGTCAGTACCTAGATTACAAGGAAATATTAAGGAGAGCTCCAGACTTTGGCCACGAAACTCGCTCGATAGCCTCACCTCTGTTCTGTCGAAGCCGTCGTATTCAAGATCTGGATACCCGAGAAACATGCATTCTAGATCGTCCGTCCTTTGTGCCGCTGATACCCCTAGTATGACGAACGCGGCCAAACCCAGTAGCCGACACCAGATCATCTGAAACAATAAGTTTCGACGGAAATCGAGAGTATAAACTAAATTTTCTGGTAAAGAAGCGAACGTGAAAACACGGAAATACTGGATTCTGGAGAGAAACATGCTAGCTCCAAGAGCTTTCTACAGAGCTTCCTTCGAAAATTCTAATTTCAAGATAAAAGAGGTTAAAATAATTGAAGGGGGTAGTATTGTTATGAAGTAATGCATCACTAGTAGTAATCACTAACAATAATGTATAAACGTCATCATGTAGGAGGTGGATGGATGGATGGTGATAGTGAAGAGAGGTGAGTGTGCTGTGAAAGTGGGAGTCTCGACGGGAGGCCCGACAACTAGTTGTAAAGAAGCACAGCGTTGAGAGTTGGTGCCGTTGAGCAGGAGGAGGAAGGCCTGCCTAAGTTCCGTGAAGAACAGCCGCCACATATTTTTTATCAAATGATAGTGTCCTACACGGAATATCCGTCACAAGTAACTCACATTATCCATGCTACAATGGTGTATGAGATGGGAAAGTTGGCAATGAAAAGTCAATAATATTGGTTACATTGAATGAACACAAAAAGTAACATAAACTAAGAGAAATTGAGAACACTTGTGCCACCATAAAATCGAGCCATTTTTATGACTTATTTTTCATGATATTTCATGATAACAGTGTTATCAAAAGTAGTATTCTCGGATTCGGCGATGGCTCCCATTGGTTCACATAGGCAGGGCCCTGATTGCAGGTTTATGCATGCTACATTGACCTGCCTAAGAAAAAACAAAACGCTCAATGTAAACCAGATAGACAGGTGAGAGTATAGCGGCGTACTCACTAAAATCACCAGTTAACAATTTTTTATGTAAATTTGTTTCTGTAGCGGTTTATGTGCGATGGTTAAACTGGAAAAAAATTGAGGGTCGCATAAAAACTGGCAATCTCTCAAGTGAAGTGAGCCTGTTTCCACGTGCTCAAAGGTTCACTTGAAGCTTCTCGATCATCGCCCTTGCATTCACGTATTTGTCAACGAGATTTGCTAAATTCAGTTAATTAAATTTGCCTGTATCCTTCAGGGGTTGGTCCTGGATTTTTCGCACTCAAAGGAAATGTCTTTGAAGAAGCTTCGAAGGCTTAGCGCTTTGCCCCCTATTGTCCTCCACCTCGCCTCCACCTTGGACCCCGAGGTTCACCATTTTTGAGTTGTGTCGTCACTTCGTCCCACTATGCTCCCTTACCGCTAAGAACGTTCATTTGAGCTTTTTGTCATCCTTTGGCCTATTCCAAACTTTTATAATAATAATTCTTATTATTTATTATTTTACACATTCACCTCGATAGGTAGACGGAAAGCTTGTGTAGAAGCAAGAGAGAGTTTTTCCTGTGAAATCTGAGAATGTCCTTTGCAAAGCAAACAACTAGGCGTTCTATCGCTTGAACGTAAGTTTTCGCCTCTTCATATGACCCTCTCTTAAGACACTTGATGAAAGTACTCGAATGATGGGCAGTTTGTCTACACTCCCACCCTCTCTGAATCTTCTTAGATCATATTCTGTTCAAGGTTTTTAATACTTTCTAAGGTCATAATTTGGACGAAGTGCCAACAAAAAGTCATCGAAAAAAGAAAAACAGACCAGTAAAATCAAGGAAAAAGGAGAACATGATCGTTCTCCTTGTGTACGATTTCTTGCTTTCCTTTCATTTCCTATCTCTCTTAATTTTCCTTTTTTCTTCACTATTTCTTGAATTGAAACGTGAGTTGGTTCGACGACCTTGGTTTGGCCATCAACACTGTATTACATTAACGGTGACGTCAACTCCTATTATTTCAGTCCATCTACTCAGAGCCGCTTATATTTAACTATGATGCAAGGTAGGCTACTTTATAAACGACTTACTGCTTTAGTAAAGTTACTGTTTGCCCCTTGAACACTGTACATTGACATTCTTTGCAGCAAAAGTCATTGCGGTTGCTGAGCAACAATGCAGGATTTCTATTTGAGACCAGAGAACAACAAAGAACGTGGAGGAACGAATAAGACACTCTTCTCGTAACAAGGTTCATGTATCCCGGCAGGTCACAAGAACCTTAAAGGCACAGTTCACGGTAATTTTGAGGTACCCGTTTTTATTCGAAAAGCGGAAGTATAGATTGGGAATAGCTCATCGGTAGTGAAGAAAGAGAGAGAATTCACCGGTTTCGAGAACAATGTGGCTTCTCAAAAGTAGGGAAAATAAAGGTTGGACGATATTGCCTTAACGGAAATAAGATGGAAGGGGTATTCGGACGAGATTTCAATTATTGCACTTGCAGAAAGAGCTCACTACATCAAGCCAGATCAGTATAAAACTGTCTTTCACTGTTTTTATGGGTCATGAAAAGTTGTTTGAACTTCCTACATACATGAGCTCCTTTATGATCGGTGCAGCCTCTACAATGCCTATGGAACTCGTCCGAGGATGCACACGGGCCAGTTTTTGAGCCACTATAACTCCCTAACTAGGCCGTTTTCCGACCTAATAGTGCCAGATATGGTGTACGCGGAGGCCTCAAATTCTTCCTGTGGGGGAATCATCTCAGAAAAAATTTCATTGTGAACTGTGCCTTTAATGGGAGTATCAAAAGGCACAGTTTTTTTTGAGTTTTAGTTTTTTGTCATAATTTCACGAAGGGACCTAAGGGTCCTGAGAAGAGGTAGGAGAATTAGATATAGGATACTCCGTAGGACTGATATAACCATGGACGAGCTGGAATCAGGAACAACCGGCTTATGGAGTTTCTCATAAATAGTGTGAATCGTGTTACAATTTCAAATTCTACTACGAAGAGATTACTAGATGACGAATTGATGAATTACCAGTTAGAAAAGTTATGTTCCTCTGCACACAACATTCATAGAAAGATAGATTCAGTCGAAAAATGGAAAGCCCGTTTGTCCTACACAACAGAGCACTGATGTTCCGCAGACCTTTCTTTATTGAAATCAAGAGGCTGAAAAGTGAAAATTTTTAAATCATCTTCATTTTGAATACATCTAAAGATTTCATTTAACTATGATGTCACTTGAAATTTAGACTCTTGATACATTAGCTGCAGAAAATACGTACACTTATAAGTTTGTCAGGAGATCGCGGTTCGAGATGGCTCGGGTGTGGAGCAGTAGGAATGAAATGGCGCGGCGAAAGCCCAATAATCGTATAGCGATTGAGCTGTACGAGGAACGTTAGAACTGTTATAACGAGGCAAATGGTTCGCGACAGCCGCGTGCGGCGGATCGATTACGCAAAACCGTTCCTACTGCTCATCTCTTAGATGGCCCTACTCTTACAGCTTACATACATGCCAAATTGAAATTTGAACTGTTCAAAGAACTGATCCATGTAAATACTATGACAGAACCGCTGTCCAGTTGAGCTAACCATTTTTCAAAACAGTTCTGAGATTTTTCAAAGATTTGACAATACAAGTATTGTCGCCAACCTTGCAAAACTTCGAGATCACGTACTGGGGAGGGGACGACAGATAACAAAACATCGAGTCAAAACATGTGCGGGTATTGTTCCCAAAGAGAGACTCTTTACATGGATACCTACATGTGACCAGAAGTGTGCTAAGTTTAGTGGTTTCCCATGTTTTTAATTCGGGAGCTCTGTCAACTTTTAATCAATCACTTCTAGTCACGCTTGTTTATAAAAGCTGTTGTCTGATCTAATTAGAACAACCATTATTATTATTACTAAAAGATGTTGGTAGTGGGTATTTCTACTTCAACTGTGTTTATATAGTACCACAGTTGTCGAAGGGTGCTGGGTTAGGCTGCTTTCATAGTCAACGATTTGGCGAGCGACCGGTCGCGCACTTATCGAACAAGCGACCGAGGGACCAGTCGCGCGATCGGTCGCTCGCCAAATCGGTCGCTCGGACTATGAAAGCAGCCTCATGTGTAAAGCGTGAGATATTAGTTCAAACAACTTCAATACTTCTCAGTACAGTTCTACCTTTGGCAACGCCTAGGTCATCCCCCATCTTAGTGCCAGTGCAGTGGTGATCGCAGTTCATTGACAGTGAGATCAATGTGCACTAGTCAGCCTCAGGGAGAGTCACACTACTGCGATCCCACAGTTTACACTTACAACTGAAAATTACTCGAAAACTTTGGATATGGGAATACTGGCGAAGATTGCTTCTCTATTCTAAGCTTAATGATTGATACATATCAAAAATCGATTGACTTCGTTTATTCAATAAATAATTAGCTATTTCACATCTTTCAAAACCTGAATATTTTGATAGTTTAGTTACAAAATTGTTCTGAAAATTTTACTCAGGCACTTTCACCGTTGGCTGATATCATTTCGCGCGAGTAAAACTCAGAGTTACTAAGTTAGTTGCAACTTCTTGCAATTCACACTGAACGAGTGACATCTTCTGTTCGAAACTACCTTATGTTCGTCTCAATCGTTCAAGTGTATCAACGTCTTTCAACTCAAACTGTTCAATCAGCTTAATCTAATCGCCGGATTCCTCGTTGAGAAACTTTGACCACAGAAAATTTCTGTCCCTAGGTCATTTCTTTCATCAGTCATTCATTCCTAGTCGAAAGACTGAAAAGAAGTAGTGGGGACTGCCAGCACTCATGAACCTCAGGAGCACTTTGAACTTTCCATTCCTGGAGGAATCCGTTTTGTTGAAGACCGTCAAATAATCTAATAATTCAGCCCCTAAATGGTTAAGCCGACGCCGCCGCAGGAACTGCTGAAATTGAAGTTTCATCCAAAAGGGAGTAGAGGTAAAATCAAATTGTATCTAGAAATGATAGAAATATTTTCAAAAATCAGCACTTAGGTAATGCTTGAGGTGCATATTGTGAGTAGATAAAGTGAGTTGAGCATATTTCTGCCGTTTAGGTTTCCCTCTTGACGTAGATGATCCTGAGCCTCAGTCTACTGTGAGTGGTGCTCGAGCTTCAGGCTCAACTACATGGGAGGTTCAAAGTACATAGAGATTGTAGGGTAAAAG